TGGTACCCACTATGTGGAACCTTAACCTCGGTGCAGTTTGGTGGCTTCGTCCTGGTCATTCTGGACACACCTACCTCCTCTGGATTAGGTACGGTGGCTTTAACAGGTGATTTACCCCTGCAGGAACTTTCAGGCTGTTTTAGGTCAGATGGAACATTTGTACACATTCAGACTGAAAGGACTGTCCCTGTGAAACCTCACCAACAAGTTTTTTACTCGATAGGGACTTCTCTTGAGTCTCGCTGTTTAAATCCAGAGAGGCCCCTTTTATTTAATTTTATTTTTTTTGTCACTGAGTTCCTGCATTTCCAAGCTCCTCTTTTGACCAGGTTCAGAAACTGGTTCTGCATGTCTGAGCTCCATGTGCTGCTTTTATTACACACTTAGACTGCACATACTTTACATTTATTGACCGCTATCTGGAACAAGTCATTAGTGTTCACATGGACGTCCTTCAGTCCAGTCAGTCAGGTCTTCAGCTGATTAGACGTTATTGATCAGGCCTGCTGTCACTTCCACTCAGCCGATACAGACCAACCCTGTCCTTTGCTTTCCCCGAAGCTGCTGCCGATGGACGATAAAGAAGCTCGTAGCGTCTGTCAGCACACAAACATTTTAGAGTCTGGTTCCCCACCCTCCATGCTGTCCCCACCCACTCCCTCTCTCTCTCTGAATGCCAAAGGCCTCTCGCCCCTCAGTCCAGATTTAGACCTCAGTCTTTCCCAGACATTCGCGGCCAGCTGTCTGAAGCCGAGGCTGCCTCCTGGTTCCGATCCTCCTCCTCGCCACCATGCCTCCACTCCTTCACCAGCCAGCGTCGTAGCACAGCCTCGCGAGTCCTCCAGGTGTGTCCGAGTGTCGTGGGGTTTGGTTTGGATGCCCAGGGCGTCGCCGCTCGGTCTGGTTCCCCAGAGGCAGACCTCCTCTTGCCCGGCCATGGAGCCTCTCGCAGAGGTAAGACCGACCCACTGCCAGCCCGCCTCATCCGTCTGTTCATGCTGGTATGTGTTTGGACCAGAGTCTGTAACTGAGAAGCTGTAAAGGAAGAACACTGCGGATACTTTTACATCGCAGGTTTTGCTGCCCAGTTTCCTGCAGCTTCTGTATTTACTCGGCCTGTTTTGTGTCTTCCGTTTCAACCCTGCGTCCATGTAAATAAACTCCAGATAGAAGTTGAACTTGACGGATCACTTGTTCACACCCGACAATAACATGCGTCCTGGTGATCCGACCAGCTGACAGCTCTGAGTACAGATGTGACGGCAGCCAGAGATCCGAGGAGGTGTGAGCCGCCTATGGACGCATTCCTTCAGGCCCGTATAGAAGAACATCCAAGAACCTCATGCTCAGCTGATGTCCTCTGTGTTTGTGTCGTCAAGTTGTGTAATCTGCTTTGAAAAGCACAAAGAGATCTATTAGTTCTTCATCTGGTTTGTTTCATGGCTGTAGAGCTGCACGATACGTCGTTTCAGCTTTGACACTGCGATGAAAAATAAGACAAATGAACTCATGCAACCAGCTAATATAGCACTTAGCATTATCTTGTCTCTATATTGGTTCTCAGCAAGATTGTGTTAGCAGCTATGTTAACTAAACATAGCAGCTAGCATGATTATGTCAATGCAATGGGTAACTTTATCCTGCTTACAACTAATACAGTGGCTAACATTTACTTGTTTAGGCTAATGTAATATCTAGCAACCAGCACGATCATGCTTATGCTAATTGAGTGGCTAGTATTATCTTGCTTGGACTGATGTAGTGGCTATCAGTATTTGTTTAGGCTAACAAAGCAGCTAACACAATCTTGCTTGCAAATAATATAGTGGCTTATATTTACTTGTTTCAGCTAACATAGCAGCTAGCATGATCTTTCTTTTTCAAATGCAGTGACTAATATTATCTTACTTGGACTAATGTAGTGGTTATCAGTACTTGTTTAGACTGAAATAGCAGCTAATACAATTTTGCTTTCAACTAATATAGTTGCTAATGTTTGAGCTAACATAGCAGCTAACATGATCATGCTAATGTAGTGGCTAAGAGCAGCTGACATTGTCATGTTTAGACTAATGTAGCATATAGCATTATTTGGTAAGGCTAACATCTTGGAGATGAATAAAGTATCTATCTATCTATCTATCTATCTCATAGCAGCTACTATGATCTTGTTTAAGCTTTTGTGGAAGCTAAACATATTTTGCTCAGATTAATGAAGTGGTTGATATTGTCTTTTTCAGGCTAATGGCTAACATCTTACTTAGACTAATGTAGTAATATAGTTTTTCATGTTTAAGCTAAAACAGCAGGTCAGGCTAATGTAGCGGCTAACCTGATCTTCTTTGCAAGTAATGTAGTGGTTAACATGCTCTACGTGGTTTGCATTTATTCTGTCGGTGTTATTCCTTCTTTTATTTAACATTAACATGCTCATTTTTTTCTTTTACATCATTGAAACTCTGTTTTTTAATAGATTGTGTAACACACCAACATATTGGTGCGCTTGTGGACCAGTTACTGGTCTCTGGTTCAGTGAACTGTTGGTGTCCTTCGTCTCCCAGGTTCCCTTATTTGAGATGGACCAGGACGAAGAGGATGAGGAGGAGGATGTTCTCTCGATGAAGAGCAGAGGTGACGATGTAAACAGAATAAAAGAATAAAACTGACACTCTTCCAGAAAGTGAGGTTACTGAATGCAACCCAACAGGTTTTTGTTTTTTTTACTTTACTATTAATTGACTATTAATCCCAGGATTTTGTCTTTTTCATGAACAGCATGAAGGGACTGTAGTTTTGTTCTGTGGTCTTTTAATCTCCTGTAGGTTTAGGAATGTTTTAGGATCCTTTGAGAAAGTGCTGAAAGCTTTGATCAAACAGGACCAGACTTCATTGGAAATTTTGCCAATTTTAGACTTTTGTCAGTTTTCACGTAACACGTATCGTACCAAACTTCATTTGAAGTATCTTCAGTTTTAGACTTCACTTTGTTTCAGTCCTTTTACAAACATCTATAGTACCAGAGATGATTCAAAATGTTCTACATTTTAAACCTGACATAATGAAAGTTATTGTGTGGCTGCACAGACGTTTATGGGACCAGACTTCATTCAAAATATTTCTAATTTTAGGCTTGTCTTGAGAAACATGCAGCTCAAAGTGCTCCTGTCCATGTTTGGTCATCTGGTACCAAATCTGTGACTTAGATCCAGAAACCCTGGTTGACTTATCGAGTTAATAACCAGCTTTAAAAAATGACCCCCCCAAAAAAATAGATTCTGTACAATACAACAAAAACCTACAGTTTTTTGACACAACAGTAAAATATAAAAAAACATACAGTTTGTAGAGGCTGTAAAATATGAATAGAAATTCAACTTTTATTTATTTTTTTAATGATTTAGGACATTTTAACTGTCATACTGCCACAAAAGTTGTTCAAAATTAGAATGAACTCTTCTAAACTAACTTGAACTCTGTCTGAAAAAAATAACAAAACTTTTCCAGATTGACTCTAAACTCATCCGACATGATGAAACCTGACAAAACCAACATTTGACCCTAAAGTTGTTCAAAAACTGCCTGAAACGACACAAATGTGTTTAAAACAAACTTGAAACTTATCGACTCTGTTTTTCTGATGAGTGTCTTTTTAACTGTCGTCCTGCACAGAAGGTGTTTCTGAGTTCTCTCTTCATGTTGTTCTGGTTCTGTGGAGCTGCAGGACTTTATGTTGCAGTGAAACATGAACCCAGAGTGAAGACAAACTCCCAGAACCTGCTGCTTGGAGCTCAGAGAGTCAAACAAACGAGGACTCGGCTGTTTTTGCTTCCGTTTCATGTGCAAACAAAACACCAGACTTTGTGGAGTTTCTCTAGAAACCCGTGTTGTGTGTCTGCAGGAGGCTGTTCGTATGCAGCTGTAGCGCCCCCTGCAGACTCAGACCCCGACACCTTCATCTACATGAACTTCATGAAGAGTCACTGCTGCTACGACGCCATCCCCACCAGCTCCAAGCTGGTCATCTTCGACACCACGCTGCAGGTGCTGCTGTACAGACCCACTGTTGTTGTTGTTGTTGTTGTTGTTGTTGTTGTGCAGACTGATTGTGTTGTTATTGTGTGTTGTTGTCAGGTGAAGAAGGCCTTCTTTGCGTTGGTGGCTAACGGAGTGAGAGCAGCACCGCTGTGGGACAACAAGCTCAAGTGTTTTGTGGGTGAGTTGTGTTACGTCTGTGTGAATTAGATTAGATGAGACATAACTTTATTGATCCTTTGGTCGGGTACGTCAGGGAAATAGTTGAAAATGACCTCAAAGAGACACAAAATGAAAACAGAGAGAAACAAAACAAACACAAAGAGACACAAATATGTTCATAACAATAATGAAAATAATGATAGAAACAGTTTGTTGCGGCTGTAAAGAACATTAAACCCGCTGACGGGTTCAGAGAGTAGCTCAGATGTTCTGGTTCAGCTGGACCGTGAGCAGTCCTCAGGAGAACCGCTGCTGTTTGACCCACATGGGTTCCTCCTCTGGGACGTTCTCAGGGTTCAAGTTCCTCAGAGCTGGTTTCAGGTGATCAGGCTCACAGGAAACCAGGTCAGAACCGTGTGTTGTGTTACCAGCAGCTGTAATTAAAACACGCGTGTTAAGTGCTTCAGCCGCTGTAACACAATGACTCACTTTAGAGACGCCGCTGACGCTTGAACTTCACACAGACACACAAATTATTCAGCGCTCTAAACTACAGGCAGCTTCTGGGCGGTTTTCTTCACTGTGGGCTCATTTTTCACTGCAACGCAAAGTCCTGCACTTCTGTGGAGACTCTGAGAACTCAGAAATGTCTTCTAACAAAGTCACTTTTAGACTTGACTTTATTCAGTCCTTATGCAGGTGGTCAGACAGCTGCAGCACCAGACTCCATTCAAAATGTTTCCAATTTTAGCCGTCATCATTAGTTCTTTCCTGCTGCGCCATATTCTGGAAAACACACAAAAAAAATCACAAAAAAAATGAATGTCCTTTTAATTTAATCATCTACCGTGCCGGACTTCATTAAAAAACATTCCCAATTCTGGGCTTGACTTTATTTGATTCTTGTGTAGCTGCAAAGACATCTGTAGCACCAGCCTTCATTTAAAATATTCATGTTTTTAGACGTGACTTTATTCTGTCCTCCTGTGGCTGCAGCTGTAGTACCAGACTTCATTCAACATTTTGCCAGTTTTAACTGACATTTTTCATATCTTTTTCTGTCACACCCTGTTTTAGAAAACAAATTCATGTCTGTTTACTTCATCACTTGTAATGCCAGACTTCATTCAAAATATTCCCGATTCTAGACCAGACTTTATTAAGTTCTGATGCAGCTGCATAGACATCCATAGTACCAACCTTCATTTACACTTTGGCCAATTTTAGGCTTGACTTTATTCAGCTTTTGTGTGACTGCACAGACATCTGTAGGACCAGACCTCATTCAAAACATTCCTCATTTTAGTCTTGATTTTATTCAGTCCTTGTGTAGCTGTACACCAAACTTCATTCAAAATATTCTCAGTTTTAGACTCGACTTTATTCAGCCCTTTCAACACACAAACAAATTCGTGTCCACTGCACCAGACTTCATTTGAATTTTGGCCATTTTTAGCCTCGACTCAGTTCAGTTCCTGTTCGGTCGGTTGTGTTTCATCCTGTGAGTCTCAGACTTTTTCCGGGTTGCAGCAGAACAGAAGATCAGCAGCGTTTTTCATTCATAACCTTTATTGCGTTAAAGACTGATGACTCCATGTTTGCAGGAATGCTGACCATCACCGACTTCATCAACATCCTCCATCGCTACTACAAGTCTCCTCTGGTGAGCTGGAGTCAAACTTTAGCTGCAAATAAATACCTGAAGTCTCCTGAACAATGCAGTCACATCTAATTATGCAGTAATTTGCACAAAAAAGGGCAGAAAATCAACATTTAAATCCTACAGCTGCTCTGATTTGATGCTTGTTTGTGTCTGCAGGTTCAGATCTACGAGCTGGAGGAACATAAGATCGAGACGTGGAGAGGTCGGTGCCAACGAACCCAAAGTGTTTCATTAAGAAAACTGTGATTTAATTTCTCTGAAGACTCTGACCGTTTCTGTCTCTGCAGAAATCTACCTGCAGTACTCGATCAACAGACTCATCAGCATCACGCCGGACTCCAGGTGAGGACGGATGTTCATTAAAGGTGCAAACTGTGATCAGTCAGCAAAGTTAAATCACATGTCCCGGGTTTACCGTCAAACCTGGATCAGAACCAGTTATTTTATCACAGCTACTGTCTGTGATTTCACTGCAAAAAACACCAACATATGTAGTTTTTAGCAGGATAATAAAATGTCATTTACATCTGAATTTGAGTCCTTTTGGTAAAAGAGAAAAAGAAAATGCAAATACGTACCAATGAGCCACAACAGGAACCATCTGAACTCCTCGTTAACGTCGTGTTATCGTTAATAATCACTGAAATAGAACCACGTGTCCACCAGAATCTGAAAAACAGAAAGAATGATCAGATGGAATCAGGTTTAGTCTGAACAAATCTGAGCTCACAATTATGATGTTTAATCAAAACATGTAAAAATCTTCCAGAACAGTCACCAGATCCTTCAAACGACATCAAAATTAGACACAAAAAGACAAAGAAGAGACAAAACTGTCACAAAAAGACGTGAAACATGAAACTACGTGAGACACAACAGAACAATGAAACACAAAGAGAGGAGGTAGAAGTACCACAGACTCACAGAGAGACACAAACAAGACAGAAAACAAGAAGAAATAGACACGAGACAAGAAAACAAGACTTAAAACTGAACAGAGAGGAGAAAAAACTGCATGTGAATAAATGAATGTGGAGACAAAACACCCACAGACAGACACGAAAGGACGTAACAGATGTGAAACGGCAAAAACAAGACATAAAATAATAATAATAATAATAAAAACAGAAGATGAGATACAAAGTGAATAAATCAAGTAAAAAAAAAATACAAACACGAGACACAAAACGTCAAAGTTGAGACAAAACCGTCCCAAAGAGACACGAAATAACACAAACGAGACCCAGAATGAAGCAAAAGACAAAAAAATGAAGCACAAAAGGACACAAAACGAGAAAAATGTGACAGAAAGGAGACGAAAAATAACAAATAAAGATGCACAAAATGACAAAAATGAGGCTCCATTCATCCCAGCGTTGGTCACACCTGAGGACACGTGGAAACATGTTGGACGTGTTCATTACAGGTTTTTAATATTTTTGTTGAATAAAATAATCAAAGAAATTCAACTACATCAAACTAACATCGACCAGCAGGACGCGTTAACGAGCTGGTTTTAATGTTGCTGTATCTGACGTTCTCTTGTTGTTCTCATGTAAACACTGTGTTCATCTCCTCAGCCTGTTCGACGCCATCTACTCGCTGCTGAAGAACAAGATCCACCGGCTGCCCGTCATCGATCCGGCTTCGGGGAACGTCCTGCACATCCTGACGCACAAACGTATCCTCAAGTTCCTCCACATCTTTGTACGCAAACCCCGCAACCCGCCAGCTGGAAGAATGTCTCTTTGTTTGTCACTGTTAAACTCAGGCCGCGCCGTTGTTCTCCTGCAGGGTTCCATGATTCCCAAACCGAGGTTCCTGCAGAAGCGGATCAGCGAAGTTCCGATCGGAACCTTCAAGGAGATCGCCACGGTCCAGGAGTCGGCCTCCGTCTACGACGCCCTGACCATCTTCGTGGAGAGAAGAGTCTCTGCTCTGCCTGTGGTCAACGAGGAAGGTATCACCGATTTAAAATCATGTCTTCACTCATCCTGGTTCAAGTCC